TATCGATATTAATAAAAAAGGCGATAAGTCAGCTTTTGTTTTAGGAATTGCGCGTGCCGTACCTGAGCGCGCCAACTTTAGACGATCTGATTAGTTAACTTTAAACACTTATAATTCAAAAACTATTATAGTCTCAACATTTTGGTATTGGAACTTTTGTCTTAAAATGATCTCAGGAATCTACCTTTAAGCGTTAGTCCGGTCATTACGGGACACCCTGTATATAAAACGCCATGTGATAAAATACAGCATATTGCTGTAAATTAATGTGATAATCTATTATAATTTAAAATACAATTGTTAGACTGATATTTGATCAATTTTAGCGTCTGATTCAGCAATGCAACTTAAAAACAAATTTATATAGGTATCTACTTTGTAAATGTACTAAATATAAAATACTTTACGTTATTAATAAATTATTCAAATTCTTTTATTTACCGTATGCAGCTTTGTAAACTATAGACTAATGTTATTTGTCTTTATAATTGGGTCTCAATGTTTGTACAATTTACTACTATTATAAATGAGACAATGATAGAAAGATTGTACCATTAAAAAGCAAAGAAAATAAATTCTAAAATAAGTTATAAAAAATTTGACTTTATATGTTTAATTCCTTAATTCCTCCTCTTTCTTTCTGTTAATTGTATCTATGATAGTCTTATAACATTAAATTTTCTAAAATATGTAATAGATTTCGTAAGAAAACAAACGTCAAAAGCAAAAGAAAAATTATTTATTATATATACACAAAGCCAGAATTTAAAATTTTCCACTTTTGATCTTTTAAAAAAAAAATAACTCATTTGCATATAATGTTACTCTATGTATTCTTTGGCTAAATATGAAAACGTAATATAAAAAATTAAAAATATATTTTGCACACATTTTTTTACTTTTACAATTAGTTTATTTCTTGTAATAATTTTCTTAAAAAAATGGATTTGAAATATGTAAAAATGTATTGTAATTATTACAATTTAATCATGTTTTCTACAATTTAAAAAGAAAGATTATGTAATTATCCGATATAATTTTATAATCACATGATAGAATTATCAACTTAAAATTATAATATATATTTTATATATATAATTTATATTTGTAATTTGGTATTTTTATATATATCAATAAGTTAATTATTTTATACTGGTAGCTATAATATATTAATAACATCATTGTGCGATTTACTGTCGGCAATATAAGAACTGCAAAAGATTAATTTTAAAAATTTGAAACGTATTAAAATAAGTATATTGCAATATAAAATGTCTATTTAAAATATAATAATTTTTTGTAAAAAATTTTAATTTTTATAAATGATAATCATACAATCACATGATGATCATGTAGTAATTTCGATTACCGACAAAACTTTACCAGTCGTCAATGCCTTTCTATTTCCAATAACTTGAATTTAAAAATGTATGATTAATTTATTTAGATATGATTATTTTGATCAATTATTTCTATTTTTTAATAATTGATTTATATCTTCAAATCAAATTGCATTTTTTTATAACATTTAAAAGAAAATGATCTGCGTTTTAAATGAAAATTTAATGATAATAAATATCCATAACAACAGAGATTATTTCAAGAAACAATCTTTCGGGGAACTTTATTAAACGCAAGTGTTACTTGAAAATTATAAATCATATGTATAATTAAAAAATTTCCGCAATTGTCAAATTTCGTCAGATATTTTAATTAGAACAAATCTCGGTAGACATGCAATGTCCCGAAATGTCAGAATACCGAATAATAAGAATTGAAACAATCGCTCAAAATGTCATAACACCGAAAATTAGAAACTGAGACAATGTACCCGAAACGACATAATACCGAAATCAAGAAACTGAGACAATTTCCCGAAAAGATATAATTGCAAAAATTAATACTCAATTAATAATCAAAATAATATCGTAAAATATAAATTTCTTAAAATATTATTTTTAAATTATACAAGCAAATCACTATATCATGATTTAAGAATAATTCTCTTGTAGAAAAAGGAACAATTAATGTATAGATTATGTATATCTTATTAAATAATTCTAAATTGCGAATATTATTATATATTTTTTATATTAAAAGATTGTCCATTCGCATATTTTTTAACATTTCTTCTGACGTTCTTCTAATATATAATAATTTAACAATTTATTAAATAACCACATTAGATTTTTATATTAGATTAAAGAGATAATTATAAAAATTAGTATCTGGTTTCCCAATAAAATAAAAGATATGCATTTCACATACTAGCGCGCATATTAGTAAATTTTTCTAGATATTGCGTGTGTGTGTATGTTTATAATCTTTAATATAAAAAAATATTATAATATTCACAATTTAGAATTATTTAATAAAATATACATAATTATCTATACATCGATTGTTCCTTTTTCTACAAGAGAATTATTCTTAATTAAATCGTGTGATTTACTTGTACAATTTCAAAACAATATTTTAACAAATTTATATTTTACGATATTATTTTGATGTATTAATTTTTGCAATTATGATTTTTGGGAATATTGGCTCAGTTTCTTGATTTCGGTATTATAACATTTAGATTTTATAAAATTTCGAGAAATTGTCTCTGTTCTTAGTTTTCAGTATTATGACATTTCGGGACATTATCTCAGTTCTCTATTTGCGAGATTATATAGTTTTTCAATACTTTGCATGTCCACCCAAATCTCATATTATATAGTCTTGAATTTTTCGATTGTCTGTTTGCAATTTAATGATAATTTAAAATTTTTAATATCGAGTAATATACTGTGGTCAAATTAAATCCGCGAATTGTAGAACAGATTGCACACAAATTTTAAGTCAAAATTGCAAACAGCTAGATTTCCTTTTCACCAATGAGAATTTTAAAACGCGATGTATTTGGATTAAAATATCATTAAAATTGTGGCAGGCTTGGAAATAATTTGTAGTACGATAGAAAATGACAAACATAAAGGTCTATCTGCAATGAGAGAAATATTATAAGTCGTAAAGTTGTATAAAAAATTGACCAATTCTTATCGATTAGATTTCTCATATTCAGTTGTGAACTTGGTCTGCAATTTTCTACGGCTTACGACTTGCTACTCACATTGTCGACGGTCCTTAATAATATCCTAAACCCCAGGTAGTATGTATTCAGAAACGTTTCATAATTGACTCTTGAAAACGTTTCTGAGTTAAAATGTCCACTCGAAAAACATTTAAAGAAACGTTTCTTTTAAAAAAAAAACGTAGAGAAATACATATAATCAAAATATCATTTCTTCTCTATCTGTAAAAAAGTTTACATATTCGTTCTTTTCAAGCACACTTTTTTACAGATAGAGAAAAAATTATATTTAGATTATATTTTTCTAAGTTTTTTTTTACAAAAAAAACATTTAAAAAAATGTTTTTCAAGTGGAAATTTTAACCACTCAGAAACGTTTTCAAGGTACTACCTGGGCATAGTATAATTATAGTATAATTATAGTAGGATTATATTCATTCCGTGAAAAAATGAGTCTTCGCGCAGGTATTGCCACGCAACTATTATTTTGAGCTAGATCCAATAAAATGCGAAACAATAGGAACGTATATATGTATCACATGTGCAGGCAATTTATAAGGCCCGTTCTACAATACGTCGTATGTCGAGTCATAAGCCGTAATCCGTAAGAATTGACCAATTACAATCGAATATTCTTCTTACCATTTAACTGTGATTGGTCAGTTCTTACGACTTACGACCCAACGTACGACGTATTGTAGAACAGGCCTCAG